TACATAATGATGTAATGTGGCAGCTATGTGGTGATGTAATGTGGCAGTTATGTGATGATGTAATGTGGCAGCTACATAATGATGTAATGTGGCAGTTATGTGATGATGCAATGTGGCAGCTACATAATGATGTAATGTGGCAGTTATGTGATGATGCAATGTGGCAGCCATGTGATGATCCCCTATGATATGGTCTGATGGAATAAACCAGTAAGAGAATGAAAGATAGGATGGAACATCTTTAATCCAATCACATCCCTGAGCCCATGTAAGGGGAGCTTCCCTGAGATGTGTCCCACACTTTGAACTTACAAGCAATAAAAGGAGAGAGAAATGAGCAGAGATCAGAGGGACCGAGTATCACCAAGAAAGAAGAGTCTGGAAGTGGAGTGCCTTCTTTGGACCTGAGCTGTCTGTACCGTGAAGCTCCTAGATCCAGGGAAGGATTGATGCCACCATGCATGGAGATCTTCAAGGAATATTGGAAGGAGACAAGGACCTTTCCCCAGAACCAATAGAGAAAGCTTTTCCTATAGCCGGCACTCTGAAGTTGGACTAGTTGCCTAAACTGTGAGAGAATACATTTCTCTTTGTTATCCCCCTTGTGGTATTTCTCTGATGGCAGCACTGGCGAACTACGACACCAATCATTTCAAGTTTAGAGACTTAGTGAGTAAAGTTGGGTTGAGCTGTCTCAGCTGGTGCATTGTCTATACAGTTAGTCATTCAACAGATATTTATAGAGCACCTGTTGCTGTAAGTGGCCATCAAGTCTACCTTGTGCATAACCCAAGGGAGTGTTGCTTGGCCCTGCGCCATCTTCATGATGGTTCCTATGTTGGAGCCGGTTATTGCCACTGTTGTGTAAGCCTTCCAGCCTCGGAGGCTCATCTTCCAGCTCTATATTGGGCTGTGTCACATCTCATCCATAGGGTTTTCATTGGCTAGTTTTTGGAAGTGGATTGGTAAGCCTTTCTTTCTAGTCTTAGTTTGGAAGTTCTGCTGCAACCTGTTCACCATGGGTGACCTTCCTGGTGTGTGAAAAATCAGTAGCATAGCTTCTATCTTTAGAGCAACATGCAGACCACTACAGTGGGACACACGGACAGGTGGTGGTGAATAGAACACCAACTGCGTGTTAATAATCATGGCAGACATTGGATACAACATAGCCCCGAGTAGCTAACATTTTATCCACTTTGTATCCCTGGAACCCTGTAATACACTGGAACCACTCAAAACATAGATTGATGAATGGTGCCAGGCCACACAGAGTTTAAAGCACAGGAAAGTGTACAATTTCCTCTTGTTCAGTTAGGTTTTTTCTTTCTCTTTTTGGAGTATATTTTAATCATTAATCTTTTGGGTGCTCAAATTTAAGGCAGTCAGAGCCCCTTCAGCTAGCTCCTGTGATGCCCCCCAACCCTTAACTTTATTAGTAAAATATATGTAAAAAAAAAAAACTTGTTCTTTTAGCCATTTGTAATTGTACAATTCAGTGACATTATCATCACCGTGTTGTGTAGCCATCACCCTGTCCATCCCCCTCAAACAGAAAGTTAGGCCCCCACATGCAACAACTCCCCATTTCCCCCTCCCCCAAGTACTCCTGTCTCTATGTAGATATTCACAGTGTTTGTCGTCTTGTGTCTGACTTATTTCACTCAGTATGATGTCTTCGAGGTTCATTCATGTATGTGTGCTGGAGCAGCTGAGCAATGTTCCATTGTGTGTACATACCATGTGTTGTTTATCCATTCATCTGTTGATGGACAAGAAGGTTGTCTCCACCTCTAGGCTATTGTGAATAATGGTGTAATGAATATTGGTGTTTGAGTCCCTACTTCCAAGTCTTTGGGGTATATACAAAGGTCAGTTAGCATTTTTATGCCAATCAAGTCTGAGTTAAGGGAACATTAGAGGTTACTTGCAGGAGAAAATAAGGACATCACATGCAATATTGGGGAATATGGAAAGGGATGTGACTTGGAGCTTGTCTTGTGTCTCATGGGCTGATTTATGGAAGTTGGTATCAGGAATCTGGGTTGCTCTGTGTACATGAATATTTCAGCTCTGTCTTGTGGTACAGTGGGAGAGCGAGACAAGAGGTAGGGAGCCCATCATCTATTCTGCACCTGTGAATGGGGCTGCTCCAAAATAGAAATCATGGGGCAAAGTTTCTTTAACTTTCAAAAATTACAAGTCCTTTCTCTTTGGCTGGACATCATCATGTTTGGTTTGGTGTTTTGAATAGTCAGTGAGCTAAAGATTTTCAGAAGTAAGAATTTAGTCAAAGACTTTAGTGTTCCCTTGAACAACAACCAGCATCACACAGCACTAGGACGGGCTCCCCGCCCAGAATGTGAGATTTCCTTCCCTCCCTCCCTCAGGACGGGCTCCCCTCCCAGAATGTGAGATTTCCTTCCCTCCCTCCCTCTCCTATCTCTGTCACTCTCTCTCCCTCCCCTCTTCCCATCCTTTTTCCCCCTCTGACAGCTAAGCAGTCCTGAATCCTCTACTGTTTGTGCCAGTAGGTTTGCCAACCCTGCCACTTCCATTTCAGACTGAGAGAGACATCCCAGGGGCTTTATAACTTCCCCCTGGGTCAGAATTGATGGGCAGTGCCAATGACCAATCATAGCATCACTGCTTCACTAGAGGTGGGTCCAAAGACCAGACCGCTCTGGTCTTTAATAACATTCTGAACCAGCAAGGAATCACATTTAAGGGACAAAGCACCTCAGACTTCCTTTGTTATAATCCTGGAAAGTGACCTTTCTGAAAAGGTGCACACAGCTCTTTCTGCAACTGAGTTGATCATAATAGTTAACATTCCATTTGTAATATCCGTCTTTTCTTTCTGAGAAAATCATGAAATGAGCTATGGTTGTCAGGTGGTTTCTCATTTATAATGGGGAATCTGACCAAGGGCCCCTGGAACACACAGTTGTCCAGACTTGCAGCTCTCCAGGAAGTCTTTAAGAGCGTTTGGGGATTAACGTCTGGATTTCAATCATTCCTGCTCCTGCTCTTGTCCATTGTTACCATCATCAAGGATTAACACTCTGGGGATTGCAGGTCAGACCCATTGTTGGCTCTCCCAAGAATAACTCTATTAATATCATTTTCCATCTTCCCAGGTGCAAACTCAGGAAACCATTGGGGACAGCGTCTCTCTCAGCCAGAGGCCAGCATCTGTGGAGCCTGCTGCGTTGGAGTCCTCACTCATGGGGGCCACAATGAGCGAATCCCCCAACTCTGGAGGAATCCATGAGGAAAGTGCATCATTGGCCCAGTACCTGGAGGTAGGAAGCTGTACCTGGAGCCCACAGCATGAAGAACAGGACCAGGAGAGAGGAGACAACACAGCTGGTGGTCCCAGGGGAGACCTGGACCATAAGCTGAGCTGCTCAGATACTAATAGTGGACTCATGGTCTCCTGTGAACTCTCAGTGCATTGTCCCCAGGATGGCTGCGTGGACTTCACTGAGCCCGAGGTTCCTTTTGTGGCTTCCCCTGACCTCGTGAACACCATCCTCACCCTGGAAAATGGTTGTGATGGGCCAAGTGGCAGAGAAGCCGTGTGTGGCCTGGAGAATTTTGAAGCAGGTGACGGAGGAACATATTGTGATGCCATGGACTCTCCTGTTGGAGCAGTTGATACATATTTACCTCAGGAAACTTGTTCCAGGGACTTGGAGCTGGTGGATGCTCAGAACCAAGCATCTGACTTATGTTCTCCTGATGACAAAATGCTGGAGGGCCTCCTTAATGCACAAAGCTCTGAGCCTCCCCAGTCCACATGTGACAATGGCAGGGATAGAGACTTGGCTATGCCACCTGTGTCTAGTAGCACATTCACCTGGAACATTTCACAAGAGGTCCATGAAGGTGCCACAGGGGGCAATGTAGCAGAGCTGGAGGACCACACATCCATACTGGTCTGCATGAGGAGGACTGATCATGAGAGGCTGAGTCTCAGCCACTCCGGGGAGCATGAGGAAAGGCAGCCTCTTTCTTCTGAGTATAGCTCTTGTTTGCAGTTCAAAGAAGGAGGTGAGGACGGTTCCACTACTAAAGACACCATAGATACACCAGCCAGTCACAGTTCCATTGTGACATTTCTTGAGGAGACACCAACCATGTTAACTGGTAATTCGGAGTTTCTTCCGGCAACCAAGGAGAGGGAAGACACATCAGTCAGTACCATAGGCACCAGGGTCCTCCCAGCTAAATGCCTTGCTGCTTCTATTACTGAAAACAGTGCTGCAGATGGCACTAAGGAGACTTTGCCTCAGACACCAGATGAGAATGGGTTCCAACTTCCCTCCAGTGTACCATGGGGTCATAGTTTAAATGTCACCACAGCTGAAACGATAAAGGAACTGCCTTGCATGGTGTCCAGTGCACCAGAAAACCAAGCCTGCGTTCCTCAGCTTTTAGAGGGAAAGGATTTCTATAGTGATTCTGCTTTGCAGATTGACAACCTCTGTGAAGATAAGAATCAGATGGTGGATGGAGCAGACCACAGGCGCCTCGAAGAGAATTTCCAAGAAAAAGGAAGTGAAACAAAGCAGAGATCCTACCAGGAGAAATTGCCCCACCAGGGTTCTCTTCCTGAAGCTGGTTTCCAGGTAAGTTTGCCCGCCACATCTGCTGCACAAGAGGAAGTAAAATCACTGCCCTGGGACCACTTACCAGGAAACTCCAGGGAGGAAAAAGGGACAGACGTCACCATGGTGGCTGAATCAATTGTGGAAGAAGACAGCAAGACCCTGAGCGATGTCCTGCCTCTTTCTCAATATCTCCTGCAGGACTCTGAAGAGAATGGACCAGGATCTGGGGAACCAGACAACAAGCTGAAGGTTATAACTCTAGAGGCTCCTGTATCAGAAATCTGGTCACCAAGACAACCAGCAGACTCTGAGAGCAAGGAATCAGAAGCTGTTCCTCTAACTCCTGACAGGATCTGGGCTCTATCTGAAGTTCCAATGGCAGACACTTTGGTGTGTGAACTAGATTCCTCCAAAATAACATCTCCTGTTAACAGTGCTCAGTGTGAGTCTAGCAATAGGGAAGTCCACAGATGTCAAGAACAAGCCAGCCATGATGGTGGGAGGAATCTCTCTGCCCGGTATTTGAGGCAACTCAGACGCCTAGAGTCATCCGTTGACCCTGTCGATGAAGAAGAATCGGGTACCGCAAATTCATTCTTAGAGGTTTCCAAAACCAGAGGGAAGGAAAACGTTGACAGTGTGAATCCAAACCAGAAGGAAAACCAACTCAAGTTGGCTCATCCTGCCTCCTTTAAGCTGCTGTTGACCTGCCCTCAGATTCTAGAGTCCTCTGTAGATCCCATTGATGAAGCTGGTATAATGGAGTGGGCTGAGGCTGAACCACCAGAGCCTCCCGAATCCACACTGGGACCCACTGGAGAGGAGAGTCAGTCCAAGGATAGAAACTCGAGCCAGAAAGTAACAGCTCAACCTGCCATTGGACAAGTTCCATATCCTGAGGAAAGCGGGGACACCATTCTGAGTGAAAAGAGTATAAACCAAAACCCAGAAGACAGAGAGAAGGGGCAGGCCGAACAAAGTGAGAACGACAAAGTCAAAGTGGAAGCCCAACTTGCCACTTTGCAAGTCTCGCGTCGCAACGAGATCATTCTGAGTGAAGGGAGCAGACAGCAAGTACAAGGCGGCAATGAGAATAGCTTTGGGGAAGCTGTCCAAAGCAAACATGATGAATCAGAAGTAACTTCCCCCACCTTACCTCTTTCTAGCTGCTTAGCAATAATGCCTTGTGTATCTGTTGGAGTTGACTCTAACTCCACGGGCCAAATTCATGACATCGCTGAGCCCAGAAACCATCCATATGTATTTTCTGACTCAAAGGAAAGGAGGTGTGCTAAATGTTTGCCTTTCACTTCATCTCCTGACGAGAGCAGCACAAACGTCTCAGTAAGCAAAAAAAGCAAAGAATCTAAAATAGAGACGCCACAAATCAGGGAACCCAAACCCCCCAATTCATCTGCCTCCCCAGCCATGACTCGGGCCTTCATTTCAGGAGAATGTGTAGCAGAGAACTCTCCTAAGTTTGAGCAAGATCCTTCTCATCAGGGATCTACCTTGAGCAGCATGAAAAAGTCCAGGCAGGAGGAGATGCCCAGCCACATGGCCACAAAACCAGGCAAATTTCCAGGAGCCCGGTCAGTGGTGACTAGGTCCGAGGAAGCCAAAAAGAAGCAAGAACTCTTGGGAAGTGGATATGTAACTGAGGGAGTAAAGAAGAAAATTCTGTCCAAGGTAGCAGCCCTGAGGCTGAGATTGGAAGAGAAGGAAAACGCCAGGAAGAACTCCAGTTTTCTTAAAAAGATTCCTAAACTCGAGGCATCAGTATCCTTCACAGAGGAGAAGAAAGACCAAAAAAAGCCACCTTGCAAAAGAGAAGGAAGAGGTGAGGCTGTTTCCTTCTAAACTAGTTAGTTTGGGCTTGTTAAAATGTGGGTACACAGACTGCTTGGCCCCACCCTCAAAGATCTGATTCAGTGTGTCTAGGAGGGTGGCTGAAGAAATGTATCTCTTACCAGGGGTGTAATGAAGAGTCACAGCATCTCTAAATTGTGCTTCTCCTTCTACCCCCTTTCCAAGATGAATAGACGTTAGTAACTGCAAAGGGTCAGCAGAAACGCCTTCTGCCATCTTGTCTGACCACCACTGGGCACTTTTCATATTTATGGTGCCTCAGGATGTCATTCTGGGCCTCTGCTGCCCCCTTGAGGACAAGTGCTTCCCTCTGCTACCTTCTCGCTGGTGCCCACTGTACATGGTCGGGCCTTGCCAAGTTAATAGCAACTGCTCAGTGGCGACCCCTTCAGGTGGCATGCAGGGCCTCTGTGTCTAACAAGTTTCCAGGTGAACTTGATGTGTCCACTCTGGGGACCACAGACACAGGCTACTTTTAAGTATATTTTGTTTGTAACTTTGTTATGAAGTGGCGTAAATGATTTGTGCTCAACTGGTATGGTTTTGTATGCTAAGCACGGACTGATGACTGTAAGGTTGGCAGTTCAAACCCACCAGCCGCTCCTTGGAAACCCTACAGAGGGTCACTATGAGTCGGAACTGACTCGATGGCACTTGACAACAACTAGCATAGTGGTTGGCAGTTAGAATCCACCCAGTGTTCATGGAAGAAGGCCTGGCATGTGCTTCTGTGACAATGACAGCCAAGACAGCTAGCCCTGTGGGGCAGTTCTATTCTATGGTGGTGGTGATGTGCCGTGGAGTTGGTTCCGACTCATAGCGAGCCTGTACAGGGTTTCCGAGGCTGTAAATCTTTACCGGAGCAGAAAGCCTCATCTTTCTCCCGTGAAACAGCTGGTAGTTTTGAACTGCTGACCTTAAGGTTCGCAGCCCGATTCATTAGCTCTATTCTATCACACCTGGGATTATCGAGCGTTGGCATTGACTCAGCAGTTGTGAGTTTGGTTTGTTTACCCCATCCAGATATGGTAGGCATTTTAAACGAAGAAGTGTGATTAAGATGCCTTTCTGTTTGGGTACCCCTTTTAAATGTATTAAATCTACTTAAAAAAACAAACAAAAAACAGAAGCATTAATCAGTGTAGCTAATTAGTATCATTAAATACACCTCACAGTAAGAGAGAGTTAAAGAAATAAACATTTAGGTACAATTTAGTGTTCTCCTCTTCAATCATTACATTATATTTCACATGACTTCATTTAAACCTTGCTTCTTTCCTTTCAAATTTGAGTATCATTCCCCGCCCCCCAATGCACCTGCCTGTGTTTCTGAATCTAATGCCCTTTGGGAGGATCTCCATGTTTCTGATTTCAGACCAAATCTTCATAATTATTTCTGCTTTGTCCAGGGAGTCATTTCAGCCTCAAATTCCTTTCCATGACAGGATGCTGAAGCAATCCATGAAAAATGTTGCCTCTTTCATATCAGAGCTCATCTTTCTTTCCCTTCTCACGAAACTTGTGATGGACGGGTTGGCACGGTCTGTGTGCTGGTGTGAAAAACTGGAGTCTTCATTAATTCTGTGTCCGCTTTATGATTCCCAACCCCAAAAAGTGGGCCTTGGACCCCCATTGCATACAGGGTAAATACAGACTCACCTTCTAAAGAGTGTGAAGGTATCCTTTGGGATTATTAGTAACATATGTTTCTAAACATATTTAAAGAGAATGAAATAATGTTTTAAAAGACCCTCAAAAATGGTTCCAGCCAAGGGGGAAACCTTTGATTTGGGATTTTGGCACATGATCATTCAGGTTACCTGTGGAGAAAATGATGGTGCAGGTAACCAGGCGGTGGTGGAGAGTTTCATGTTACCCCCCTCAAATCCCATAGGGCTGCCCTGAAAACGGGGCATTGTGGGAGGGCATGAGACTAGTGAAGCAGGTACAGGTCTGAGCAGCGGGAGGGCCCAGCAGTGGCCATGGGGTAAGAGCGTCAAAGACTCTTTCAGCTCAGGGGGATAACGGATGGTCACCAGTGTTGCCCAGAAACAGAGCCCACTGAGTGGTAAAGATGAGGAGATGAGAGGTTGGTAGGTGTTCTGGTCCATCTGGGAGGACGCTGTGACGTGGTAGTTCCGGCTCCAGTGTACATTCAGAACCAGATTGCTTGGGTTCAAGTCTGGTCTTTAATAGTAACTGGATTGTTGTTGTTAACTATCACTAAGTCAGTTTAGCTCATAGCGACCCTGTATAGTTTCCAAGGAGCATCTGGTGACTTTGAACCGCTGACCTTGCAGTTCAAATCGACCTTGTGATCGAGTGCTTATCCTACAGTGCCACAGCAGACTCCAGTAACTGGGTGGCCTTGGGCTAATGCCTTAGTCTCTAGGTGCCTCTCTTTGCTCACCTGCAAAATGGGGCTGCAGTTCTGCTACTTCCAAGTGATAAAATGCAAAACCGTTTGAATGATGCCTGGCCCTGGTGGTTAGACATTAGACTGCTAACGGCAAGGTCAGCGGTTCAAACCCACCATCTGATCTGAGGGAGAACGATAAGGCTGTATGTGAAGACTAAGAATCTCAGAAACCCTAGATAGGCTGTGAGTGGGATTCGATTTGGTGGCCTTGGGTTTGGCCCTGCACAAACCCTCAGGGTTGTTATCTAGTGTTTTATTATTTTTAAATGACAAACAAGGACATTCTTAGGTTGTTATGCACATGAATAAAGTAACAGACACAAGATGGTTGTGTCTGGTTCAACAGCTAGTATTAGAAGAAAGAGTGACTTTTCCGTCCCCGCCTCTCCTCTCTGGAGAACCTGGGGCCTCCGCTGGAAGGTGGAGTTGGTCCCTACATGGGCATCCAAGGTGGGTTTCCTCCCATGTGGACTGTCCTCACCCAACCACCATTTCCTCCTGTAGTTTCTGAGGAGTTGCCCTTGGGATCCACCTCTGTCTCCTCCTGGGTGAATATCTCCTTTGCTAGGAGAGGTGGGACTTTGGCATCCATCCACTTTGTATACATTTCAGCTTCCCAGCTCTGGGTGTTCCAACGAAAGAACCTCCAACCTGACTTGGCAAATAATGGCTTGACCAACACACTCCCTAACTTCTGATGGTCATGTGAGTCCAGTTAGCTGTAATCATGAACACAGTGGCTATTTAATGGGCATCTGGGGCACCCACTAATCTGCATGTGCCAACAAGAAACAGGAAACACAATTCTCTTCCAGCATTTAGTGAGGACCCACCCTTCCTTTTCACTGATGGCCTCCCATCTATTCATTGTAGACTTCCATCTGGAAGGTCATTTCCTTCCAGAACCTATCAATCAAAAGCTGATTTTTCCCCCTTTTTTTCTCAGTGTTGCTAAGTGCCGACAAGTCGGTTCTGACTTGGTGAGCAGCGGAGCACGTTAACCGTGCGCAGTTCCCAGTAATTTCGTTGCCTACCAATAAAATCTTCCATACCAGAAAGAAAGGGAGAGCCTTCTGGGCGGCAAGCCTTGTCATTTCTAATGTCTATGCTGCCATCTAGTGGCTTCGCTGGATAATTACACATTGTCCCAGCCTGCCAAAAGAGTGATGATGCTATTCAAGAGATTCAGCTCAACCTCTGGGGAATCTTTTCCTTATTTGCTCTTTTATTCTCTCTGTGGAGTCTTGGTGTTGCGCTGTAGGTTTAATGCGCCAGACTGCAAAGCCATTTGAACTGCAAGGTCGGGAGTTCAAGCTCACAAGCTGCTCCTCGGAAACCCTATACAGGGTTGTCATGGGTCGGAACCGGCTCGACAGCGCCAAACAACACAACAACATTCTCTCTGTAGCTGGTATCAGCCATCACTTCAATCCACTAGAATATCTTCAATAAAGACAGAGATGGTGTTTAGCATCTTGGAAGGTTTAACCACAATTATCTGGATAATTCAGACTTGATTCTGTCTCCTAATCCTAGCTCTGATTTTCACCTGAATCATCTGGTGATCATTTAAAAGCATCGCAACCTGGCTCAGGTCATCTGTACCAGGCATCTACTCTCTCCTTAAAAAAAAAAAAAAAAAATTAAATTCTCACATATTCTCCTTAACATTGTGCAGTTCAGATATCACTCAAGGTATTTTAAGTAAAATTTTAAGTATAATTTTCTACAGATTGATCTGTTAATTTTCCTTTTATTTAGGCAATCCACATCTCCCACCAGGCCCTCAGTTTCCTCATTCATAAATTGGGGAAAACAATTATGATCCTTGTCTCATGGGCTTGTTGAAGAATAAAATGAGATATAATAGGAAAGACTTTTGTCCACTGTAAAGCTCTTTGCAAATATTAAAATAGTAATCCCATTACCTTGAAGTTGAGTCTGACTTATAGTGAACCCTAAGGATGGAATAGAACTGCCCCACAGGGTTTCCAAAACATAACTCTTTGCAGACATAGGCTTCTTCTTCTTTCTCTGGAGAAGTTAGTGGGTTTGAACTGCTGACCTTGTGACTAGCAACCAAACTCTTTAATCACGGTACTACCAGGGCATTATTGCTGTTGTTAAGTGCTGTTGAGTTGGTTCTGACTCACAGCAACCCTGTAAAGGGTTTCAGAGGAGCAACAGGTGAGTTTGAATCGCTGACCTTGTGGTTCAAATTGACCTTGTGATCCAGGACTTTCTCCTACAGCACTGCACCAGGATTACCAGGGTATGTTGTTGTTAAGTGCCGTCGAATTGGTTCCAACTCACAGCGACCCTGTATAGGGTTTCCAAGGAGTGGCTGGTGGGCTTGAACTGCTGCCGACTTTGCGGTTCAAAGTGACCTTGTGGTCCAGTGCATTAACCAACAGCGCCACACCAGGACTCCTACCCGGGCGTACTGACCTGCAAATCTCTTGTTTCTAGCTCCAGTATTACTGAAAAAGATCCAAGCTGAGATGTTTCCCCACCATTCTGGAAACGTAAAGTTAAGCTGCCAGTTTGCAGAAATTCACGAAGATTCTACTATCTGGTGGACAAAAGATGCAGAGTCAATAAGTCAAGTGCAGAGAAGGTGCGCTGTTTACCCCCGATTACTTTTCACAGCTGCTGCTTGTTTATGTCATAACCTGGCGCTAAGAGAGGCTACGAAATGATAAGAAGCAAAAAGGAAAGCCAAAGCAGAGATTCCTCACCCAAAGTACCCAAGGATATGAAGTCATGGGAGGGGGCTGTCTAGGTGGAGAAAAGGGATAGCGGGTCCTTCGTGGACTTGTTATCACACACTGTCAAGTCAGCTCTGACTAACAGAAACGCCATGCACAACAGAACAAACCAAGGTGCACCATCCTGACACTTGTCATGTTTGTTCCTGTTGTTGTAGCCACTGTGTCAGTCCATCTCGTTGGGGGTCTTGCTCTCTTTTGCTGACCCTCCACTTTGCCAAGCATAATGTCCTTTTCCAGGGACCGGTGTCTCCTGTTAACATGTCCAAAGTCCATGAGATGAAGTCTCACCATCTTCCCTTCTAATGAACTGGTTGAATTCTGGTTGCACTTCTTCCAAGACAGATTTATTTGTTCTTTTGGCAGTTCGTGGTACTTTCAATATTCTTTACAAAACCATAATTCATATGCATCAATTCTTCTCCCCTCTTCCTTATTCACTGTCCAACTTTCACATGCATATGAGGTTACTGAAAATATCGTGGCTTGGGTCAGGTGCACCTTAGTCCTCAAACTGACATCTTTGTTCTTTAACGCTTTAAAGAGATCTAATGATATACATCCTTTGATTTATTAATTGCTGCTTTCATGAGAGTTAATTGTGGGTGTAAGTAAAATGAAATTTTTGACAACTTCAATTTTTTCTGCATTTATCATGATGTTATTTCTTGGCCCACCCATGAAGATTTTCGTTTTCTTTACATTTGAGGCACAATTCATATACCAATCATAATGATCTTCATCAGCCAGTATTTTAAGTCCTCTTTGCTTCCAACAAGCAAGGTTGTAGCATCTGCACATAGCAGGTTGTTAACGAGTCTTCCTCGAATCCTGACACCACATTCTTCCTCATGTAAGACAGCTTCTTGGATTATTTGCTCAGAATACAGATTAAATAAATATGGTGAAAGGATACAACCCTGTTGCACACTGGGTTTTTTAACCATTCTGATTTTAAGTCATCCAGTATCCCCTTGTTCTGTTTAAATTCTACATGTTCCTCACAAGCACAACTAGGTGTTCTGGAATATCTATCCTTCACAATATTACCCATAGTTATGATCCACACAGTCAAATGTCTTCGCATAGTCGTTAAAGCACAAGTAACCCGGGCAGTGTTTTGTTCTGTTGTGCATCGGGTTGCTATGAGTTGGAACTTACTCAATGGCACCTAACAGCAGTAACAGCAAACATCTTCCTGGAGTTCTCTTCTTCAAGCCAAGATCCAGCTGGTGTCAGAAATGAGACCCTTTCTTCCACATCCTCTTCTGAATCTGGCTTGAATTTAGGACAGCTCTTTATCAATGCAGAGTTGCAGCCATTTAAAAATTATCTTCAGCAAAATTTTAGCTGCATGTGATATTAATGATATTGTTCCATGATTTCTCCATTTCATTGGGTTCCCTTTCTTTGGAATGACACATCATGGATCTCTTCCAATCAGTTGGGCCGACTGCTGCATTCTTAATGGGTGCTTATAGCTGTTTCTTCTCATCAGCAAATGAAGGTCCCAAAGGCTTTGCTGCATCCCAATCATGAAGGTCAACTCTACGTTGAAGAGGGATTGCTTCCTCAGTCATATTTTGAGTGCCTTCCAACCTGAGCGGCTCATCTTCTGGCACTATGTCAGAGAATGATCCTGTGCTGTTTATAAGGTTGTCAATGGCTAACCATTCAGAAGTGGTCTGCCTCTCCTTCTTCCTAGTCTGTCTTCATCTGACAGTTCCATTGAAACCTGTTCACCATGGGTACCCTTGCTGGTATTTAAAATACTGGTACCATAGCTTCCAGCATTGCACAACACACAAGCCACCACAGTGTGACAAACTGACAGACAAGTGGTGGCCTTTGGAAATCACAAAACCTTTCATTATGCTTTTTAAATCAGGGAAGCATGTCACATTTTTAGTCTGAAATTCTAGAAACCTCAAGGTCATCTGGGAATTTTTCTTGTGTATGTGTTTTCTGTTTCCTTAATTCCTACAAACAGACCAAGAGTAAACTAAGACAAGACAGTGAGCCCAAAGAAAAAACAAACCAGTCAGAAAGTTACAGAAAATAAACAGGAATTCAGGGTGGTGAGCAGCCATCTTTAAGAAGAGAAGACAGTTTATTTCTGAGACATAGAGTATTAGAAAGAAACTCTGGTAGCAGAGTGGTTAAGTGTCTGGCTGCTAACTGAAAGGTTGATGGTTCAAACCTACCATCAGCCTTGCAGGAGAAAACCCCTGGTGTTCCTGTAAAATCTCAGTCTAGGAAGCCCCATGGGTCAGTTCGACTCTGTCCTATAGAGCCGCTAAGAGTCGGAATCAACTCAACACAACAACAGGATATTAGAGGCAATGAGATGAGAACCAGCATCAGGAACATTGTGCTGAGTGGGTCTGGCTAATGGCTTCCTGGTGTGGCGCTGTAGGATCAGCACTGCAAGATCGGCAGTTCAAACCCACCAGTCCCTATGAGTTGGAACTGACTTGACAGCATTTACCAAGAACAACAATGGCTTCCTGAAGCACCTTCCGTGCAGGCCACAGCGCTTGGGCAAGTGAGCTGCTAAACTCATGCTTTATCAGACACTCCCGTGGAGGTCAAGCTCATTCTAGAAACCAATCCTCCTGGGCTCCAGGGCTCCGGCACCTGTCTAAACACCCCTTAGGAACTTCTTTCCGCCCCAGAAGGTCCCAGTGCAGTTCCTTACTCACGGGACGTGCCCAAAGTCTCCTTGACCTTGTCCCACGTAGACTGGAAATGCGAGACAGTTTGTGAATTTTCTATGTATGCCTATATGTCTGTCTGAACAAATGTCCAAAAACATTTCCCAAAAGCCAGTATGGAAGACTTGAGCTAGTGTTTCATTTGTATGACCTCACTCCAGAAAATCTAACTGGATTGTGAGCAACAAAACAAAATGACAAAATGTCGTCACAGCCCTGCTGGTCTTCTGTATGGTTTCAGAGGAATCACAACAGAGAAGCCTCAGCTTCATTTTGAATCCAGGCATTTCCCTAGAGCTTTATGATAGAGGAAGTGCCAACTGTTCATTCTCAGTTCTTTCCAAAGCTGTCAACCAGGAACAATGAACAGTCTAAGTGCTTTCCAAGGCAGGCTCACCCTGAGCTCAGAACTGGCATTTTCAGGTTCCCTTTTCCTCCAGGGAACATAAGCAGTTAGTAAGCATGCTCTTGAAAGTCTTGGTGTGGCGCTGTAGGATAAGCAATGAACTGCTGACCACAATGTCGGTGGTTCAAACCCACCAGCTATTCCTCAGAAACCCTATACAGGGCTGCTTTGAGTAGGAACTGACTTGATAGCGCTTAATAACATCAAATCTTAGAGTTATCTCTTGTATTAGACAGAAACCCATCACCTCACAATGGGTGGGTTCAGTGGGTGGTGGTGGTTATGTGCCATGGAGTTGGAACCGACTCATAGCGACCCTGTAGGGGGATTCCGAGGCTGTAAATCTTTACGGGAGCAGAAACCTTATCTTTCTCCCACAGAACAGCTGGTAGTTTTGAACTGCTGACCTTAAGGTTCACAGCCCAATTTGTAACCACTACGCTATCAGAGCTCCTGGGTTCAGTGGGTAGCAAGTAGCAAAACTGAACATTAGAATGTTCTTTCATAGTGAAATAATTTTGGGGGGAGGGGGGAGCCTGTTAAGCAGTAACATACAAAGGACATGCAGTCTTTCTCTTGCCTTTGTACCCAGGTTTGGGACACTTCCCTTCAGCAGGTTAAAGTCTGGGAATCAGGTGTCAGAACACATTCTTGTGGCTGGAGCAAGGCTCCTATCCTCTGAGGAACCTGAGAAGAAGACAGGTGTTTGGGTGAGGTGGTGGGTCTGTGAGGGTTTCAGGCTGGTACACTCTAGTCTTACCTTGGTCATCAGTCCCTCCTAGGAACCCTCTCTCCACTCTGGGCAGAGAGGTGCTTAGGGGGCATTTGCCTACTTGGAGCATATTGGTTGAAAGTTGAGCAAAGTCTTGGAGCACAGGCCCCCTCCTTCTTGTTTGATAGCCCGGCGGCTATGGAGGCAGTTTCTCATTGGATGGCCACAGTAAGGAAAACCCCAGTACTTCTCAGCCCAGACTAGATGGTGTGCCCAAGTGCAGCTCTCCCCGCCTGGCCCCCTGGGGTTGGTGAAGGATGAGGGGCCTCCAGAGCACCTTCCCCTCCCACCACTTCCGTCCTGGGTTGTGTTATTCTGACCATACTCCCGGCAGAGCCTCCCTCCCACTGGTGTCTGCAGCTGAGCTCTGCTCCCAGGCAGCCCTTTCTGAATGTGGACATTTCTCCTACAGAGGTTGGGCTGTTCACACCTTGGGGGTAACAGGATGAGAGACTGACCTTCTCCCTGGTGGTCCACAAAGGCACCAGATCATTTCTTCTCATTTTCCACAGTTCACACTGGTGCTTTCTGTTTGTCCATCTGTTCCCAGATTGGGGACCCTCAAGTGCACTGACTGTGACTTCAAAAATGTAACCATTGAATTCTCAGGACCGGACATATAGCAGATGCTCAGCAAATATTTAACTGAACTCTCTGAGACTTAGAGAGGTAGTTCTTTTTAGTGGAAAAGGCCCACTATTATATAGTATTGTTGTTAAGTGCTGTCAAGTCGGTTCTAACTCATACCAACCCTGTACAGGACTTCTGTGAGTTTGAACCACCAACCTGTGATTGTTGTTGTTGTTGTTGTTAAGTGCCATCGAGTCGGGTCCGACCCATAGCGACCCTGTACAGGGTTTCCGAGGGTGTAAATCTTTACGGGAGTAGAAAGCCTCATCTTTCTCCCGCGGAGCGGCTGGTAGTTTCGAACCGCTGACCCTAAGGTTCGCAGCCCGATTCGTAACCACTACGCTACCAGAGCTCCTTGATTAGATCCCTTATAAAGGAAGTTGTTGCTATTGTTAAGTGTCATGGAGTCAGTTTCGATTCATAGTGACCCTGTAAAGGGTTTCTGAGGTGTGGCTGGTGGGTTTGAACAACCGACCTTGTGGTTAGCAGTCCAGTGCTGATCCTACAGCACCAAACCAGGAATCCTTCAGATATTATGATGATGATGGTTATATGCTGTTGACTCAGTGCCAACTCATAGTGACTCTGTATAGGGTTTCTGAGGAGCAGCTGGTGGGTTTGAACTGTTGTCTGATAGGATCGCAGTCCAGTGCTGATCCTACAGCGCCTGTCCCAGATGTCCTGTAAGATACTATAATATAATATCAAAGACTGTCACTCCCTCATTTTATTGTACTCCACTTGATTGTGCACTGCAGATGTTGCGTGTTTTACAAACTGAAGACACATGGCAGCTCAGCGTGGAATGAGCCTATGATGTCCTTCTCCATAGCCTGGGCTTACCTTGTGTCTCTGTGTCACATGTTGGTCATTCTCGTGATACCTCAGACCCCAGCACAGTGTCAGCATAATTTCTCTATGACTTGCCATATAGTGATGTTCACTTCATTACGGTGTTCTGGAACTGAACATCTCCGGGCTCTGTCTGTGCTACGCTTACTATGATCGTCCAGCCCCTTAGCCAGCTTGTGGACTGAAAGAAGCATCGTATCTTTCTCTTGTTAATTACATGAGAACAATGTGGCTTCAGATGGTGATGCTTGTCAATGCTGGTGTCCTCGTTACAGTGCAGGTGACCACTCCACGGTTTCCTTGGCCATCGTTCAAGCCAGTCCAAAGGACCAGGGCCTCTATTACTGCTGCATCAACAATAGTTATGGAAAAGTGACGGCTGAATTTAACCTCACCGCTGAAGGTAAACCCCAGCCTTTCGGTTCCCAGGGAAAGCTAATGGGCCCGGCCCAGTTCAGAGTGTGCGTCTGTCCTGAAGCTGTGCTCTTCTTTGTCTCCTAGTTCTCAAGCAGCTCTTGAGTCACCAGGACAGTAAAGGTAAGTCAGCTTGGCCTTCGGAGAAAGCGGACTTGCTCCAAAGCATGCACTGGTACATGGAGTAGAGGGTAGAGGCAGCATTCCCAGGGACTCTAATAGCTGAGTGGGAGAGAGATGAGGCCTAGGTGGGAAAATGAATGATTATTCATGAGCCATTCAAGCCAACCATCAGTCCTCCTCCTCATATCACAATTCCATTAGGCTTGGAGTGCACAGCGTTATCTAGGGAAGAGGCTAGGCTGCGGCCCTGGAGGTGGTGTGAACAGGTGGAGGGGAGTTGGGGGCCAGACTTCTTCCTTTAAACGCAAGCATCGAGGATTTCCGTCAGTCCTTCTGCTTGGGTGTTTTTAGCCGCTAATCCTTACACAGTGGGTTTTGTTTCTCCATTTGGAGTTTTCAGTTTGACTAGCTGAGAGGGCGCCCAAAGAGAATCACTCCATTTGTTTGCATCTTAAGGAAAATGAAAGATGGTTGTTGAAGCCTGCCTTTTGGCACATGAGCCCACCTGGGGTGGCAACAGTCTAGCAGTAGTCCTTGAACTCCAGGTGGGCATGGGCCACCGTATGTTCATACCATGGTTAAGTTTGTGTATTCCCTCTGAAGAGAATACCTACACACACACCCTACACACACAAATCCACACATGCCCACCTTTGTACACACCTACCTAAAACATAGGCATCGACTTCCATACATGAACATCCCCCCTCACCCACCTCCACACAACCCCACCCCACACACAGGCACCCACCTCCACACAAGACCACCTCCTCACAAACCCCTCACACACACTCACACCTTCATACACACACCTCCACATATATGTCCACCTCTACTCACAGACCTATACACCCCCACACACACACAGGTACCAAATTCCACACAAGACCACCCTCTTAAACACCTCCACACACATGCTCACCTCCACACTCACATATACCTCAACACAACCCACCCCACCACCACACAGGCACCCATTTTCACACAAGACCACCCCCATACACCTCCACACGTATGTCCACATCCAAATTCACACACACTTCCATGCCCACCCCTGGCACCCCCGACACATACCAACTTCCATGCATGCCCACCTCCACCCAGAGGTGCTAGAGGATATTTGATGACCTGCTGGGGAGCAGGAGTCTTCCATTCTCTCTAGTGTTAATATTCTCTTGCAGCCAATTGTGAGCATACAGCTGGACGAGATGCCCATCATGAGTTGTGAGGGGCTGAAGCAGCCCTGCCCACCATCACCTTAGACTTAGGTCAGAGTTCCTGGGAGGTACAAATGGTTAATATGCTTGACTGCTAACCAGAGGTTGGAGGTTCAAGTCCACCCAGAGGCACCTTTTATAAAGAAAGGTCTGGGGTCTGCTTCTGAAAACGCGGCCTTTGGAAGCCCTGTGGAGCACAACCCAACTCAGAGGCTGTTGGAAGTTGGAGTCGACTCAAAGTCACTTGGTTTGCTTAAGGACACTGGGTCAGTTATAGATGAGCTAGGCCCAAAACTCTGATAATTATATTGATTTCATATTTTAAAGACTTACCTCGTGATTTTTAAAGCAAGCAAAACACTTGGGAAAGCAGGGCCGACTTTTTCAGGACAGGACAGTAACGGTTCTAAAGATGCACCAACATCCAGTATGTTTAAGTCAAAGTCTTCAAATCTCGAACAAAAACAGTCTAGCAAATATTGTGATGCTTATTCGAAATAATAGTCATAAATGCAAAATCTTCACAAACCCACTCCGGAGCCAACTACCTGCTCTTAGTTGGTGCACATGTGTGGCACAACTTTAAATCCTTCTCCGTTTCTGCCTTCACTGCCCCGGAAGTCAGAATAGGCCCAGAAAAGCCCTTCCTTCTCAGATTCAGAGAACAACGTGACTTTCCAAAGGAGAAAGGGTTCTGGGTTTCCTTGGCTTTTCAGCAGTGATCGGCACCCACATCCCAAGTGTTTGCTATTGCCCTGGTAGTGCACTGGGTTAAGTGGAAGGTCACTGGTTCAAAATTCTAGGGGAAAAATGATTATTTACCAACCCCCAATGGAAATCCCATGGAGCCGTTGTACTCTGCCTTATATGGGGCTGCTATGAGTCAGAATTGACTCAATGGTGGTGGGCTTGGTTGGGTTTGTTGGGTTAGGTTTCCATGAACTCGTGTCTCAGGGTTTTACCACCAGGAATGAGATCTCAGCTGGGAGAAGCCCCGGGTGTACCCCTGTGACTCCAACCTTAGGGTTTGGATCTAGACCCTAATGACATTGCCTCCCCGAGCTTCACTCAGCTATGCGTGGACATTTGCAGTTTCAATGACTCGCCTTACCTGACCTCTCCTCCCTCGCATCTTCAGACGCAGCTTAGAATGACTTCTTTATTGCCTTCTTTATTTGAAAGAGTCTCTCTTTCTTCCTCCTTCCCTCTCTCTCACTAAACATTTTATGAATTTAATTCTCTACAGGAGGAACAAATAATATTTTACAAGTCAGACTCTAATTAAAAAACTAATAAAACTAAGTTAACAGGAACGCCAAAATGAATAATCGGCCAAATAAACACATGCTCGCAATGTTATTACATATTCTGAATATGTTAGGGGGTACCCTTATCTTCCGCTAGCCAGTGTTGGCCATCACTGACTGCAGGTACTCCCGTATTCTCTGTGCATGTCTTTTAGTGGTTTGGATTTTTATGGGTGCAGTAAAGCACCTTAGGAAAGTCCCTTGAGGCACCAACACTTGTTTGCATTGTCTCTGTGGGATCCATTCGAATGAGTCTATTGGTTCTTTCTCATGGAGCTGTCTCTCTCGGATATAATCAGAGCCATGGTGGTGGTAGTATGCCGTTGAGTCGGTTCCAACTGACCCTGCACAGGATTTCTGAGGCTGTAAAACATTATGGGAGCAGAAAGCCTCATCTTTCTCCCATGGAATGGCTGGTAGTTTTGAACTGCTGACCTTGAGGTTAGCAGCCCGATTCGTAACCACTACGCTACCAGAGCTCCTTCAGAGCCATGGTTGTTGTTAAGTACCGTTGAGTCGACTCCAACCCATAACGCCCCTGTATAGGGTTTCCAAGGAGCAGCTGGTGAACTTGAACCACTGACCTTGTAGTTCAAACGACTTTGCAGTCTGACACAGTCCACAGTGCCACACCAGAGCCATGGTGGTGGCTGTGTGCCGTGGAGTCGATTCCGACTCATAGCAATCCTGTACAGGGTTTCCGAGGCTATAAATCTTTACGGGAACAGCTGGTAGCTTCGAACTGCTGACCTTGCAGTTCGCAGCCCGATTTGTAACTACAGAGCTCATTAGAGCCATGGTAGGATCCTGCAAAGTTTCAAAGAAAAGTTCACTTTCTTCCTAATTCTAGACTCAAGCAGCCATATCCTCTTCTCTGGGCTCAGCCACTGGTAACCCTACGGAACACAGTTCTCCTCTGACACACAAGGGCTGCCATGAGTCGGAGTCGATGTCACAACAACTGGTTTTAGGGTCTACAATCAAGGTTGTCGTTGTCTCTTTGTAAGGATATGAACTAGCCAAGGAGCAGGACTAGGGACAGTCTATCTAATGAATGCTGTGTTTCATTATAGGCTGTGAAGAGATTGAGTTCAGCCAGCTCATCTTCAAAGACGACTTCCTCAGTGACAGCTACTTTGGGGGTCGCCTGCGGGGTCAGATTGTCACGGAGCAGCTGCACTTTGGGGAAGGGGTTCACCGCAAGGCCTTCCGCAGCACGGTGATGCAAGGACTCATGCCCGTATTCCAGCCTGGCCATGCCTGTGTACTCAAGGTGCACAATGCCGTCGCCTACGGGACCAGGACCAATGATGAGCTCATCCAGAGGAACTACAAGCTGGCTACCCAGGTAGGTCCACCTACCCCAAATGCATCACTTCAGGCTCCCGTACAAATGACTCTGATGACAGGAGGTGATAATCAGACTTGGAGCTGGTGTTCCATCCACTTGAGTGAAGTGGGAATCCCTTCATTGTGGCTAGGAGCAGATTCTCAGCCAGCTGCCTGGAGACACCTGGGTCTGACCTGGGTCTAGGGACATTCCTAGGAGTTTGAGTTGAGTTGGTCACAGGGCAGTATGGAAGGTAGGGGCTCTAAGTTAAATTAGACGCAGGATTCAGACACCCAAGGTTGTTTACGGAGATTTATAATTCATGGATACCTGACCGTGGTGACTGCTTGACCTTTGAGGCTCAGAGCTTCTCTGCAAACTCTTTAACTTCTCTGTTAACTCTTTGTTGCAATAGTTTCTTCTGCAACCCCAACCAGCAGGTGAATTCAGGAATCCATGGGCATGACCTATATTAGATCTCCTGGTTCACCTTTGCAGGCAACTCTGTCTGAATTTCTTCTAATAACTGACTTCCATGTATTTGGCAATACAGGAATGCTATGTTCAGAATACTGCCCGACACTATGCCAAGATCTATGCTGCTGAAGCACAGCCTCTGGAAGGCTTTGGAGAAGTACCTGAGTAAGTGTCCACCTGTCTGCAATGCCTAACCCTAACCCTAACCCTAACCCTAACCCTAACCCTAACCCTAACTTGTTGGAGACTTGGAGGGATGCAAGGGACAAGAGTCATTTGCTTTCTGTGTCTGTAATTTCCAAGAGGGCAAGCTATGCTGTGCTGAGAGGCTTGCCGAGAGGCATTCGGTATTCTTTGACTAAATGTACACATGCATGTGTGTAGGTGTGTCGGTGGGTGGATGGATGGCTTTACTCATTCAGTAAGTATATCTCCCATAAGAATGCAGAAGCTGGACAATGAAAAAGGAAGCCCAAGGAAAAGTGGACGCATCTGAATCATGGTGTTGGTTAATAACATTGACTATATCATGGTATGAACAAATCTGTCTTGGAGCAGTACATACAGAATTCTCCTTGGAAGTCAGGATGGTGAGACTTGGATCACATCAGAAGGGAGAAAGGAGTCCATGAAGAAAGGCCTCGTGCTTGGTAAAGTAGAGGGTCTGCAAAAGAGGAAGACCCTTAACAAGATAGACTGACGCGGTGGCTACAACAATGGGCTCACATATACTTACTATTGTGATGATGGCGCAGAAGTGGCAAAGTTTTATTCAGCGCTACACAGGGTTGCGTCTAACAACATAACCACCACTACAATGTTAAACTGAACAGAATTTCTGTTTTCATGAATATAGGTGTGCATGCAGATTTGTCTAGATAATTTAGCAAATACAGAAGAACAAGAGGTACCAGGAGATGGTTCATCCTCTGATAATATTAAGATATCATGATATGTCAGGGAAGAGTGAATTGGGTGATCAGGAAAGCCCTTCCTAAGGAGATAACATTTAATCTAAAGTTGAAATGATGAGGAGGAGTCAGCTTTGTGACATCTAAGGAAAGAGTGTTCCAGGCTAAGAGCTCTGCTAGTTCAATGGTCCCTAGTGGTAGAAAGCTTGGCATATTCAAGACTCAGAAGAAGTCCAGTACCTAGATCTCAGCAAGAGGGGGAGTGGTAGGATGCGAAGCCAGAGAGGTAATTAATAATCACTGATGATGTAGGAGTCCTGGTGTGCCACTGTGGGTTAATGCGCCAGACTGCAAAGCCCTTGAACTGCAAGGTTGGCGGTTCAAGCTCACCAGCTGCTCCTTGGAAACCCTATACAGGGTCGCTATGGGTCAGAATCGACTCAACGGCACTTAATAACAACAACAATGATGTAAGAAGTAAAGAAGGGAGAGAAAGTTGAATACGAGTTGAAGGTTTCTAATAGAAGGTTGGGTAGATGCTGCTGCCACTTCAGATACTGAGTTCAGAAAGAAGACTCATCTAGGTGGGTGGCCAAGTGAATCATGAGTTTTGCACGTGCCATATTGGAAGTGGGTGACATCTGCAGCACATCAAACTTCAGCAGTCAATTGGTCATCTAAGCCTAGAGCTTCAAAAGGAGAATGGAACCAGCGAGCTGGATTTGCTGGTCCTTAGCAGATAGACAGCGGTGGGACTGTAGAAATGGTAGAATCCCTCATGAATGAACTTGGAGAAACACAAGCATTCAGGGGTCAGAGTCAGCATTCAAAGGAGTTGATAAGTTCCAGTGAGTTGATCTTGACTCATAGAGACCCTGTATTGGGTCTCTGAGGAGCGGCTGGTGAACTTGAACCACAGACTTTGCGATTCAAACTGACCTTGTAGTCCAGTGCATTAACCCACAACACCACACCTCTGTTTTATATACATTTATATTTATTTATTTCTATCATCTGGAACAATGTCTGGAAGTATCTGACACATAGAAGTCGCTTAATGAATATCTTTCTTTTTTTAAAAAAAAAAAGTTTTTATTGTGACTTGAGAGATAGTTTACATGGGAGAACATTGGTTTTATATTCATTGTTTCATTGCAATGATTACAGTCTCCTCCGTGCATCATTATTCAACAGTATTTGCTTCTAGTCCCTCTGTTTTGCTTTGTTTTTGTGGGGAAGGAATGTACACAAAAACACTTAGGAATATATAATCATTTAAACAACCAAAGGGCACGTTCTTCAAGCCAGTCTCCTGGCCACCAGCACACAGCCTTCCTCTTTCCATGAGTCTAGAGTCCTCAGCTGCTCTCTCTCTCCATGTCCCCATCTCTGGTGTCACTGCTTCTCTATATGGGCCCCCACATTCTGCTTGTGATCTTCTCCCTTGATGGTCCTATTAATGAATATCTTTTGAGTGAAAGAAAGGATGGATGGATGGATGGATGGATAGATGCATAGATGAGTGTTGGGAGTGTGTCTGTATATATGTATACATGAGTGATTGAATTATAGTCATCTGACCACTAGATTATTGAGTTATGATGATCATGCACATGTTCATGAGCAATTAAACTTCATTCCAAAGGGTTTTCCTACTATAGGAAAAACTACAACATATCCTTGTTCCCACTGAGTAATCACTGGGGAGAATTTTCATGGGAATCTGGCAGGACCCAGGGGTTGACTGCTGCTCCCAGTCAGAGTGGGTGGTAGTGCATGTGTCCATGTTCTCTCCCCTGCTAGGATCATTCCTATTTTCCTCATCCATCGGCCGGAGAACAACATCCCCTATGCGACAGTGGAGGAAGAGCTGATGGGAGAATTTGTAAAGTATTCCATCCGGGATGGGAAGGAGATAAACTTCTTGAGAAGAGAGTCAGAGGCTGGTCAGAAGTGCTGCACCTTCCAGCACTGGGTGTACCAGAAAACAAGTGGCTGCCTCTTGGTCACCGACATGCAGGGTGAGGCGGGATGCTGTGGTTCCCGGGGATGGGGTGGTGAGCCAGGAAAGCCAGTAAGTACCATCACCAGCAAAAGGTGCTACTAATGCCACATTGGTCCAAAGGCATCGTAAGGTACATTGTACTAATTCCTTCTAATAATGCCCAAAGATTTACCTTGTTGTTATCTCCTCAGTAGGTACAAACTCAGACATATATGAAAATTCATGCAAGAGACTTCCCTGCCACACATAAAATATGGTCTAACAGACAGCTACTGAGTCCTGCTGTGGCGCTGTAGGAGAAGCACTGGAATACAAGGTCGGTGGTTCAAACCCATCAGCCGCTGCACAGAAACTCTATTCAGGGTTGCTATGAGTCAGAACTGACTTGACGGTACTTAACCACCACCGCCACCATCACGTTTCACGTGTCCTGTGTTTGTTCCTCTTCACAGTTAATTTGTGTTAAATGCTATGTTTCCACTGAAGAGCAGTACCCTGGAGTGAATGCACACTGGCTTCCCTTCTAGGTGCTAGTCAGCACCTATAGCAGGCCCGCCAGCTCTCTGTCAAGGGGTTCGTGCAGCTTAATGTGTTGACACGTGTTTCATGGGAGGGCTGCCTTACTCTTCACTGCAGAGCCATTTGCTTATATTGTCCTGGTAGCGGAGGACTGCTCGATACTCGAAGCACTTTCCAACGTCTCTCATTAGACACAGGCACTGAGATTAGGATTAGAATAAAAAAGACCCAAATGCAACCATCAACCTCTCGTACTCTAAGAGTTACCACCTCTCTGGTTGCACATGTCTATTTCCCGAATGGTCCCAGTCCCTGCAGGCTTGTGGGATAAAAGCTGAGCCTGTGACAGGCCCCTGGGGTCTCTGCCCACTGGTGGATTTGTAAGAAACTGTCACCTAAAAGATCCAAGAACTCAAATTCTAGAGAACGAAATCCTAATGCTGCCAGTCTCTCTTCCATCAGAAACGACTTATAATTATAAGGACCCCTAACTCAGGATAATGCACTGAACCGCAAGGTCAGTTTGAGCTGCAAGGTTAGCAGTTCAAACCCACCAGCTGCTCCTTGGAAACCCTATACTAGGTCACTGTGAGTCGGAACTGACTCGATGGCAGTAAATAACATCAACAACAACAACTGCACTTCGCAGCTGCACACTAGAGATTAGTGACCAATCTAGCAAGGCCTTTGATAATCTCAGTCCAAATTAAGCCAAGAGCTATGTTGCGTTTTTAAACTGATGTCCTGTTCTTTTTTAAAGGACACGTGACATCTGACAATTATGAGAAGCAGGGGGAAGCACTTTCCCAATTCCAAAGACTTTTTGCCAAATGACTTTTTAAAACTGGGCTTCCATGCAGCTTAGAAAATAAAGCTGTGGTTTTTAAATACAACTTTCCATGAAATAAGATGTCCAAAAGGGCTTTTTCAATTTAGTTATCTCTACCTCCCCCTCTTTTTTTTAGTAAGCACAGATCCTGTAATAAAAGTTACGTGAAGCATTTCTACATATGTTCTTGGTGTTAGGCGTTTTGAAAGAATGGGATGCATTACTTGCCAACTGTGTAAGAGGCTTTTAAAATGCTCACTGGATCAGCCAAAGCACCGTGTCTAATTTAGCACACAGGTGCATGGTGGGTGGGCGGGCTCAGAACTTGGTGACACACCTGAGTGGGTCACCACACACACATGTACTCTTCAGGCCCCCGGCAGATTCTGCTGAGGCAAAACATTAACCTTCAGATTTCCTTTCTGGGGCCTCAGAAAACAGTGCTCATGGAGCCATGGAGACCCAAGGGATGGAGGTACTATCAAGGAGTTCTGGTAGTGGAGTGGTTAAGCATTTGATGCCAACTGAGAGATCAGCGGTTTGAACCCACCAGTTACTTCACAGAAGAAAAGACCTGGTGATCTGTTTCCATAGTGACTACTGCCCAGGAAACCCAACAGGGCAGTTCTACTCTGTCACATTGGGTTGCTAGGAGTTAAAATTGACTCAATGACTTCCAACAACAGGGTACTGGTACCATCAGATCTGACCGCTAGGGAGTGGCCTTTTTTTAGGGGTTGCTGATTCCTTCTTTATGGCTCAGAATGGCTCCTATGGTGCCAGGTTCCTCAATGGGCAGGGTCACCTGCTAGGAATGGGGGATACCAGTGATCACAGTCTGACCCATGGAAGGCAAGAGTCAGTGACAGGAGAAGGCTAGGCCCAAGGTGGAGTCCTGCAGGGCCAGCCAGATGGTGAGGTCGCCTTGTGGACCAGTGGCCATCACTAGATTGCATGGTGAGGTCCACTGGGCTAGAGCAAGTGCCCACAGCCACCAGCCTGGAGAAACAGGAATGGAATTAATACCTCCTAAGGGTGAGGGGTGGCACTGCAGGAGAATGCCCTGGACCACAAAGTCTGTTTGAATCTCAAGATCAGCGGTTCAAACCCACCAGTCGTTCCCTGAAAACCGTATTCTCAATTACTACAAGCCGGAACACACTTAAGCTTAACTACAAAACAACAACAGGCGAAGAGGGACCCCTGGTGATGCTGTGGCTAAAGCATTGGTTGTTAACTGAAAGGTTAGGGGTTCAAACCCACTAGTTGCTCCAGGGGAGAAAGATGTGGTGGTCTGCTTCTGTAAAGGTGACAGCCACAGAAACCCTGTGCTGTTGTGGTGGTGTTGTGTTGTTGTTTTGTGTTGTGTTGTGTTGTTATGTTGTGTGGTGGTGTGTTGTGGTGTTGTTGTTGTTTTGTGTTGTTGTGGTGGTGTTTTTGTGTTGTGTTGTGTTGCTGTGTTGTGTTGGTGTGCTGTTGTGTGGTGGTGTTTTGTTTTGTTGTGTTCTTTTGTTGTGGTGGTGGTGGTGGTGTGGTGTTGTTGTATTGTTGTGGTTGTGTGGTAGTGTGGTAGTGGTGTTGCTGTGGTGGTGGTGTTGTGTTGCTGTTGGTGTTGTTATTGTTGTGTTGTGGTGGTGTTGTGTTATAGTGGTGTTGTTGTTGTGAAGTGCCATAGCAACCCTGTATAGGGTTTCCAAGGAGCAGCTGGTGATCTTGAACTGCCTACCTTGCAATTCAAACGGCTTTGCAGTCTGGCATGTTAACCCACAACGCCACACCAGGACTCCACAGAAACCCTATGGGGGCATTCTAATCTGTCCTGTAGGGTCACTGTGAGTCAGAACAGCCATTGGGGTTTCAAGGGCAGGAAGATTCTGGAATGGCTGAGAGACCATGGCTGATCCGGGCATCAGAGAAGTACTCTTACCTCCTCCAGTGCTGCCTGAGGGTGTGGGGCAGAGCCAGGGGGGGGGGGGGGGGGTGGGGGGTTCCTCTCCCTCCTTTTCCTGGAAGACAGTTTCCGAGCCATGGTCCCAATTGCTCTGATCTGCTTGGGACTCTTCCAGGCTGCCTAGGGCTCTCTGCTGAACCCAAGTGAGCAGCTGAGTTAGCTGTTTACTCTTGGTAGCCATTGTCAATATGGCTGAATGAATGGTTGTTGTTGTTGTTAAGTGTTGCTGAGTCGGTTCTGACCCATAGCAACCCTATACAAGGTTTCCAAGGAGCAGCTGGTGAGCTTGAACTGCCGACTTTGAAGTTCAAACGGCTTTGCAGTAGGGCGCATTAACCCACAGCGTCACACCAGGACTCCAGATGGTGGTTGGTGGTGGTGGTTATGTGCTGTGGAGTTTGTTCCAACTCACAGCGACCCTGTACAGGGTTTACGAGGCTGTAAATCTTTACAGGAGCAGAAAGCCTCATCTTTCTCCTGTGGGACAGCTGGTAGTTTCGAACTGCTGTCCTTAAGGTTCGCAGCCCAATTCATAACCACTATGGTGGTTAGGTTGTGTCAAAATATCAGCCCGTGGACTCCAAATGCTGATGTCCCCAAGTCACTGGTTAAAAGTCTGTGTATCTCAGGAGTGTTTCTCTGGGTCTACCCCAGCCCAGGATGCCTTTGGTCCTGAATCTGAAAACTGTATGGCAATTGGGTATTGCACAGTTGAAGTTTGGCTTTGAAAGAAGAAAGTCCTTCTGTGACTCTCTCTGTTGGTCAGCCCAACCCACACTTCTCCCCACACTGTGTAAGGCTTTCTTTGTTCTAGGGGGAATAGGGAGCAGCCTTAAGCCTCAATCCAAGTGTTTCTGAGGAGAAAGCTCACAGGAGAGTGACAGGCATTAGTCTTCACTCTGAGGACTGTGGGTCACAAAGGCTGAGAGATTCATTCCTCTGAGCTGAGAGGACTTGGGGTGGGCTGGGGTGGGCTGGCAGGCCCCACTGCTCACACGATGCACAGCTCCTCAGAGTGACTCCCTCCGAGGACCTGCCTTTCCCATTACCACCCCATAAAATGGGTGTCCATCCAAAAGGCTGCCTCCTCCACAGACAGAGGCATCTTCATGGAAGGCGCTGGAATCCATGCTTCCTCAGGAAGGGAACTGAGGTTGGATCAGTCACCAGATGGTCCATCCTTTCTGAGGAGCCCTGAGGAACAAATACCCCGTTTCTGCTTTCTTCCTATAGGTGTGGGGATGAAGTTAACTGACGTGGGCATAGCAACACTGGCGAAAGGGTGAGTAGGAATAAGTGAGCATGTTTCACTTAAGGCTGGCTTCAGACACCTCCTGGGAAGTGCTATGCTGGCTGATGTGGGCAAAGCCGATTCCCTGTCCTGACTGTGGTGCTTAGGATGAATTCCGTTCACTCTCTCACTCACATCAAATATTTATGGGCTTCGTTCTCACTGGGAAACACATTTGTTCCCTCACATCAGAACAAACAAGAATTCTGCAAACAAAATTTGAGATCAACGTGGAACAGCCATGCCATGTGGAGGGAACTTCGAGCATTATTGGAATGTCTTTCAAGGGGTAATAGTCCCTGTTCCTGCCTTTCCTGGGGCTCCTGGTGCGGTGCCGTATTTGCTGGTCTGCAAACTCAGTTTGAACCGCAAACAAGCTCACCAGCCGCTCCTTGGAAACCCTATAAAGGGTCGCTATGGGTCGGAACCGACTCCATGGCATGTAACAACAACAACATTTACTAACTTCCACTTGCTTCCTGATGCAGTTGAGTACAATGAGTTCTATTTGCATATTTGTGCATTTCCCCCCAAAAGTAATCTTGGTGACTTACAGAACTCAGTCATAGAGAAACCCTCAAGGCCGATGTTGATGGTTTTGTTTTCCCAGTTCAGGATTGTGGTTGGTGGTATTGTGTGTGCCTTTGAGGTAGTTCCCATTCTCAGTGACCCTGTATAAGGTTTCTGCAAGCAACTGGTGGGTTTGAACTGCTGACTTTGTGGTTAGCAGACCAGTGCTGATCTGACAGCACCACACCAGAGTTCCAGTTTAGGGTAGGATGTTGTTACATGTAGGGTGGTGTGTAGTCATATGATGTGATGCTAAGATGGTACCGGGGTGTCTTTTATTGTTGTTGTTTTTCTATAGACTTATCTGTGTATGTGTGTGATATATATAGAACCAGAAAAGCCAGAGCTGTTGATGCCAATCAACACCATGAACTGTTCCCCAATGTTTCCATAGCCCTTAATGGAAGCTTCAAACTGCCATGGGGTGAAGTTCTAACTTGTCTGTCACTATGGGGAGAGCAGGCTATTGGTGGTTCTTGGTTGGAGCTTCCTGCCCCTCGCCCCGCACACTGCCATGACTGCTGTTCCCTGGTGTAAGTGCATTTGTAAGAAAGAGAGGACACGTGGCTTTGGGAGACAATAACTTACTCCCCTGTGGCTGGAACTACTCATCTGTGTGAGCTGCCACTTCAGGCCCTCTGTCTCAGCTTTGCTGCAACAAATTTGCTAGTTTTCAGCTTTAAGGAAGGATGGCAGAAAAGAGACACCAAAAAAAAACAAAAACAAAAACAAAAAACAAACCTACACAAGCCCATAACCATCTAGTGCATTCTAACTCATTGCTCCACTGCAGGATGGAGTAGAACTGCCCCGTAGGGTTTCCGAGACCGTCATCTTTATAGAAGATGGCCACCACTTTCTTCTGAAGACTGACGGATGGGTTCCAACCACTAGTTAGCAGCTGAGTACTTGATCACTTTGCCACCAGGAATCCTGGAAGGAAAGATGAAGGATTTGGAAATGGGAAAGGGGGACGAGTCTTGATTATCTTCTAATTACAAACCTCATTCTTGGCATTCCCATTGACTGCACAAAGCTTTAGATTGGACTTTGAAACCAAGATGCAACTTGGACATTTTCTCCTTATGTGGTTCCTTCTGAAAAACGTACCCCTCTCCCAGGGGTGACCTGGAACTTGCTGATTGTCTTTGGAAGAGTTTGATATGTGAGGAGCCTGGGGGTTTGCAGAGGCCTGGCCTGGCCCCCCGCCGCCTTATATTTCACCTGCAGGCAGCCTGCCTTGTTGGCATCAAAGGAGCTTGTCTGGCCTGCCTGAGGAGAGGGTGACCACACATCCTGTCTGCCAAGCACAGAACCATTTTTATCCCTGATGCCTTAGAATCCCATCTAGTTTGGCATTTGCCTTGGACAAGTACATGGAAAAAAGTAAAATTTCTTTTCCCTTTCACCAAACTATAAGGATCAATCAAATCAACTCAGTTCCATTCCACTTCTGTTCTGCCAGCAGCTGCCCAGGCAGGCAGCCAGCCAGCCAGCCACCCTCCTCTGACCCTCACCCCTGGGAACTGGGGTAGAGCTCACAGATGAAGGTTCACAGCCCTCCAGACTGCCCAGGTGGCCCCAGGCCCCAGACAACAGCATGAGCTTGGGAGTCCACACAACACTTTCACCTCTGACCTGCTGGCTGCAAACTTGGGAGCTCCCTTTACCCCCTTAGGATACAGCTCCCACCCCTTGCTTCTGACCCGCTAGCCCCTACTAGGCGATTGGGTTTGAGAATTCCCTAGAACAACTTGTAGGACTCACAGAAAGTGCTAGATTTAGGATTATAGCTTTATCATAGGAAGGGTACCAATGGAGAGACGCATAGGGTGAGATCAGGGAGGGTTCCCAGCATGTTTTATATCCCACATGCATGGATGTCTACCACCAACCAGGAAGCCCCTGGCTCTGCTCTGCTGGGTCCATAGCTTGTACTGAGGCCTCCTTACAGAGCCACAAATGACTGAAGCATGCCCCACCCCACCCCAGGTCAGCTGATACCACGCTGGGCTGGGCTCACTGACTTGACCGGCTCCACCTGCGTTACCTTAGTAACATCAACCTTCACGTGGTCTGGAGGCCCCATCAAAGGCATTTCAATCAGTGTTTTAGTGCTTACCGCTCTGCCCAGTAGCACAGCGGGTTATGTATTAGGCTGCTAACGGTAAAGTCAGCAGTTCAAATCCACCAGCCACTTGTGGAAGAAAGATGAGGCTTGTGTGCCCTTAAAGATTTACAGCCTCAGGACTCTTGGCTAGGGTAAGTCAGCAGTTCAAATCCACCAGCCACTTGTGGAAGAAAGATGAGGCTTGTGTGCCCATAAAGATTTACAGCCTCAGGACTCTTGGCTAGGGTCCCTAGAGTCGGAACCAACTTGACAGCATATAGCAGCAGGGTCTATCTCTCAGGAACCAAAGACAAACTTCTTTGGGTCGAGTTCATTTTAAACAGCACAACACAGGTCCTCATTTAGAAGGTAAATTCTCTGATGTCCCTATTTGTGAAGGCCCCTGGACCCCAGGAGGATTTCCTGAGTGGAACCTTCCTTCCAGACTTGGGTGTTCTCTGCAGAACATTGCAAATTCAGGCATCAACCAACCAGGTTAGAATCCTGGCTTCTCAGATTCTCAAAGCCACTGATCCGGAGAATGGAGAGACAAGGGGTGGTGAGGATCTTCACTTTCACTTCTGTTCACCTGTATCTAGTCCCCAAAGCCTCCTGTGAGCTTGATAAATATTGATTTCCTTTACCTCTTCATAGCCCAGTCTAATGCCAGTGTGGGCAAAATGCATATGTTTGTTTAGAACAACTTTCTATCGACTCAAAACAGAAACCTACTCGAGAAGTTTCGAAAACTGAGACAGGCATAAGAGGGTGATTATTTGAGACATCTTGTAAAAGTATGTCAGCAGCTTCCAGGAACCCAGACCAACTGTGAGCGTCAAATGCCATATTTCCCCTCTTAATTTAAAAAGAAATCCAATCCCTTGGTTTTGTTCTCAGCTTTCATGTGACTCTCTGGGCTTGGCTCAGCTGCCTAAGACCCATTAAGTGAGTTGATGGCTGGAACTCAGTGTGAAATGTTGTCTGTGACGTCTGACTGCTTACTGTCTGCTTGCTCAAGGAGCCCTCAGGGCGGACATGATGGAAGAGAAGGGGATTGAGGAGCATTTTACAACTTCGGAGGGGATATTATTTTTCTCTCCAACATTTTCTTTAAACTTTTCCTTGTAAGCCACAGTTTTCTCAAAAGACATGTTTCTTAGAGGCTCAATATGGATAGTAACTCAATCATGACGTTCTCTGACAGGAGGAAATGGCCAGTCAAGGTGGATTTAAACTCATAACGACTCTACATGTGTCAGAACAGAGCTGAGCTCCACAGGATTTTTAGGAACTGATTGTTCAGAAGTCACTTGCTTGCCAGGCCTTTTTCTGAGGTACCTGTCTGGACTTAACCTCTGACCTTCCAGTTAGGAATAGAGCTTTGCATCAGCCAGGGACTCCAATGATGAGAACAGCTACTGTGTTGTTTAAAGCAGAAGAAGAAAAAAAAAAAAAAACCTCCCAAATTGAGGCTCTACCCTTTTTTGGCCAGCAGTAACCAGGATTTTTGTGGGAAGAGATGCCATTGTGTCATTTAATAAAAATGTTCCCTGTGTCTCAATCCTGGCCATGTTTTTGCCTGCTGAAATCCCCATAAATTCAACCTGGCTTGATCTCTTGTTTCATGAAGCTGAAAGGTATGATAGTATTTTGAGGATAGATCATTATAATCTCATAAAAGGAAATAGGAAACTGCCGTGGCTGGTTCATTTAAATTCAATCTTACCTGCTAGTTGATTTTTAAAACAGACACATCTAATATTTCTCCTGGGAGTCAGCAGCAATATGAATATGTCTGGAAATCTGTGGCTGGTACCGTAATACCCTTAATCCTTTGGCATTATTGAGTACAAAAATTACAAGTTGCAAAGTACAGCAAATATGATTGTTTAGCTATCCACGAATTCATTTTATAGGTAGACCAAGATGCTAACCGGACCATTTAACATAAAGAAAAATATGTAATGGTTTATCTGGAGATATAGAAATGTCATCAAATCAAACCAAACTGTCTGGGTCCAGTCCTCCTGGGTTCAACACACAGCCCTCCTGGGCCAGCAACTGTGTTTCTGGAGAGGTGTGGTATTGCAAGTCAGCCACCAGGGGACACCAGAGTCAATACTTTCCCCCTCTTGTGTTCAGCCATTGCCAACACACAACCCTATAGGATAGAGAACTGCCTCATGGGATTTCCAAGGCAGAAATCTTTATAGAAACAGACTGCCACAAACTCCCCTCTGCAGTCACCCCAAAAGCTGACTTCCTGTTTCTAGATTGAAGTAAAACAAAGATGTACTCTGAGCGTATTTCC